CAGCCCTCAAAAGGGCAGGTTTGAGTCTCAGTGCCCTCTCAAAAAGCTTCATCCTTTTCCCCACGATACAGCCAAACAGAAGTTTTCTGTAGATCAGCATTTACAACAACAAATATCAACAGACTGCGGTCATCATGCTTCACCCTAAATGGCTGTAGGCCTCTAAACTGGAATTTATACAGAAAAACACCCAGAGCTATAGAAAGCAATATATTGCATGAGTTTTTGCATCTTTCAAATGCAAACAGTGACACACAGAAAGGACAGATCCGTGTGTTTCCCAGTACCAAAACACCTTGTCATTCTGACTCCAAACATACACTAATTTAACACGTTTTGCTACTGTCAAATTACCAATACAGATTAGGTCCCCTCTTTTTGGTTTTTGAAGTCAAAAGCCACAACCCTGAATAAAAATCAAGAACACTGGAGAGCAAACAATGTCAGTTGTTTGACAGAGATGTCCAAGTAAAAATCTAAGAGCCAATAAGAAGGAAAACTGCTTTATCACAGGGAAGTAACAGCATCCAACTTTCATATCACAGCACATACAATGGCACCAACATTTTTTCAGCAAGATGCCTACAAGTAAATTGTTTCCCATTCCATTCTGGTTCTACTAATATAATTCCACAGCTCATTTGAACATTGTTGCTCTACATGTATACCAAGAGGTTTACAAAAATAAATGGAAATTGACTGTCCGAAATTAAAAATACATTAAAATCCATCTAACATGCATCTACACTGAGGGACCAACCTGGAAGAAAGTGCTCACCACAACATAAAGGAAAGCTGTAACTACTGTATCACGGTTGATATTAATTCCTAAACAGCCATATCATAATTTGTGGCTGAAGATACAGAGTATGTTTCAAAGCAATGCTGCCAGATATATAAAGCATTCATGCAGACCCACTGATGGCAGAAATAAATATCAATCAACAAAAAGCAGTGCCACATCTGAAGGCAAAAAAAAAATCCAATCTTTTCATCTTACTGACATGCAACTTTAGCAGTTCTGCTTCCAGTCCCTTGAGTTTCCTCAACAAACGAAGAGTTAAAGCCAGAAAATTCACATCTGTCCCAGTCACTACAAAGACAGCATTTACATCATTCTGCCATACATTATCCTACAGTCGTAAGCCAAGGCTCCCCCCACAAAGCCCCCAGCCCCGTTCACAGACATTAATCTCAGCTTTTCCACATTGATCACGACCAACACCTCTAAGAGCTCTCAAACTCCAGTGGACGGAGGCTCTGAACAGCAGAAGCTCAACCTTCATTGTAACTGAAGCTACCCAAAAGACCCCAGCATGAACAGGCTCTGCAGACCAAACAGGAGAAAACTCAGGTTGCCAAAACCAGTCTTTGGAAGAGATAACTCACTGTTCTGGGGATGGGTGGCGACAGAGATCCATTAGGCATGTATGGGTCGTTATTCATATTTGGCATCATGATATACCCAGAATAACCAGAATATGATGGTCCCTTGCTGTATAAGCCACTGTCTGGATGCTTTCCTATGGAAGAGAAAACAATCATTACATTATTCCCCACATATGCATTTCTTGTGAGTTAGAGCACTTAAACAGGTACAGTGCATATATAAAAATGTTGTGCATGCAAAATGTTTGCTAACTCATGGACAGAAAGTGGTCCAAAGCAATTTGTAATAACGGTTTTTTAGGAGGAATTAATTCTTAAAAGTGCAAGTATTCTCCATGAGCAATTTATGTTTAAAATACAGAATAGCCTCAGAATAACCAATTTATTTTGCTAGTCTCCATTCAAATCAAGGCAGAAACATCAGCAATGACATGACATTTCTCAAGTAGCAGTTTTCCCTGATTTTATACATGCCTCTAGGATCTGCGGATTCAGAAGTATTGCCAGTATGGGTTTCCAACATCATTGTTAGGAAAGGCAGGACAGGGCAGTGATGACTAGATATAACAATTTCCTTGTCTTGCTGAGCCACTATGTGCAGCAACAAATTCATTCTGGCCACGCTCACTGGGAACAATTAGAGGGCAGGGGACGGCTTGGAAGGAGATCCTAATGATTTGGGAGGGGGACTACTGAACACACATGGCACTACACTCAAGAGGGAAGCCAAGTTAAGTGAGCTACTTGTTAGGAAAATTTGAAAATTTGGGAGTATTTGGGTCTAGGTCCTGCAAAAGGGAGTGAACAGGTCTCCCACCTATATGCTCACTGATAAAGATACTATTAGAAAGTGAAGTTTGAAGAGGATGCAGGGCTGAAAAGAAAACTATCCAGAGCTGAACTCCTGCCCCTTTACTGTCAAAAAGGTATTGAGCTTGGACATCAGTGTTGTTAGGCTATTTAATGACTAGTTTGGAGAAAGACCACCACAGAGTCCCAGAAAGCACCAGGACTGAACTGTGTCTGTCTTTATATGGAATTAATGATCTGGTTTAGTTTGTGATAAGAATTTAATTTTAAACATAATCTCCAATCCCTCACAGCACACATTCTTTGTACGCATGTCCAGCTTCCTAAGTGATATTCAACAAACTCTGCTATTTCCTCTGTTCTCCTCAATCAAAATTAACCAGCTGGTACATTAAAAAAAGCAAGAGGTCTGTTCATGCTTAGATTTGGAAGAGATTTAAGCAACAGACTTTGGCTATGGGGAAGAAAACCAGAGTTTCTGAATGCACTCTGCACTGTATGAGTGAAGAGATAGATGTGTCTAAACCGATACCCTAAAAATAGCTATTTTTGTAGCAAAGATCCATTTGGCCTACTTATCAGTTTCTAAACAACTGAAATACCATTTGGTCACTCATGATAAATGTGCTGTGTGGTCATCTCCTTTTTAAATGCACTTTGAAAGCACTCTCACAAACCCCTTCCCCAAAGGTGCTAAATTTATGTTTCCCAAAATAAACCAAGTTCCAGTTTGAGGACCGTGTGGATGCCCACAGAGGGACTAATAAGAGGGACAACATTGTAAGACAGGACTGTGTGCTTCTCACCTTCCTCGGGGTGCTCTCTGCTTTTATCATGGTAGGAATCCTGTGCTTGAGTCTGCCTGGAAACCTGACCGCAGGGAATCCATCGTCAGAAAAGAAAAATAAGAAAAGTAATTGTATGGATGTTCATTTATTGATCACAGTGCTACAGCTTCTTGAAGGAAGAAAAAAGTTAAAGCAAGAGATAAACATCTTTCTTTTTCCTCTCTAAGTCCCTTGGAAGGCAACAGTATCAGAAACGTTTGTGTAAACGATCGTTTTATGACAACGTGAGTAACTACGGGGCTTTGCGAATCGTTTCTGGCAGAAGCACCCTGCATTTAATGAAAGGGGCTTTTATCTGGAAAACATTCAGAGTTTCGGCGGTCAAAACACTCTTGGTAAAAAGATACCAAAATTAATAATCAAAATCAGGTTGTCCTCATTACCAGATCTTTAGGGGGAAAAAAAAGAAAATAAATAAATAAAGGTAGCTTCCCCGCTCGCTCTCAAGTTGTTTTAGCGTCGGGAATTTCTTTCCAAACAGTTTTATGCAAATCCCTTAAAGAGTTTACAGCTAATACTCTGACCCTGCTGATTTTACCGAGGAAATTTCATGGTCGCTTGAGGTCTAATACCACCGCACCGTCGGGGCACTCGCGGCAACTTTCTCGTCCCGGGCCGAAGA